CCATCCCCCAAAGGCTAATCTGTTTGGAGACACCCCCCTAATCTCTTTGCTGTTATCAACCAGTGGGGGGGGGGGTGTAAATGAGCTATATATACTAGTCAGACTGCCCTCTTCATTACCACTGTTTCCTCTAAAATCTCCATGCTGCACCCCCAATTATTTCTTCTCCAAGTTCAACAAAATTCTTTCTTATAGCTCCGATGAAGACAAGAGTCAGAAAAAGGTGGGGTAGGTGAAAAGAAAGTCTAAAGACCAACATTAGACGTGGAGAAAAGGGTGAGGGAGGGGAAGAGAAGGGCTGAAGCAAAATTAAATACAGATGGGGGAGACGGAGTGTCAACTAATGAAGAATAAAAATTCCCCAACAGAGACAGACCTTAAAGAAATGAAACAATAGAGATTTGTATATAACCAGAAAGGAAATTTCCTGACCTTAGAGCTCTTTAAGAATAGAATCAAGAATCATCCATTTCAAATCATTTTGATGTGATCTTGGCTGAAGGCAGGGGATTGGACCAAATAACTTCATTTTTCAGGGACCTTTCTTATTCTATGAGTCCATGGGTCAATAAGGAAAAAGAGGAACATGATGATTGAGGTCAGGAAATAAATATAAAGCAGTGAACTTGTTAAAATTAAACTCTTAATCTCATTTTTTAAGTGACAAAGACAATCTTCCTTTAGTGCTTTAAACGGTCAAAATCCTTAGCTAGACTGAACTGGACAAATTTCTTTAGAGCCTCAAATGTTGGTGCATATTTCCCTCTGGTGGACATCCAGGCATATTGCAGAGTTTGAAACAAGTGATTACTGTAGGAAAATAACAGTTTCAAGTTATCACTGATACAGTAGATAAATAAACAAAACTGACCTGTCAATAATTCAGCCTTTCATAATGGAAAGAAAAACAAATGAGTAAGAAGAAATGGATTCAGGACTCAGTTCGTTGAAATTAACCAGCCCTTAGAGTCATTCACAGGCCAGTCAGACAAGGGTCCCATAGGACCATTCTGGACCAATTCTTTAAACCTTGTCAGCCCTTCAGCCTCTCTGTCTCTAATTTGAAAACACTTGAATCATTTTTATATTTATTTTTCTTTCTTCCAGCCTTTTGGTGAACAAAGGCTTAGACTGATACCCTTTCTATGTATTTATGTGTATGTAGATATACATACACACACACACACAAATACACTATACCCTTTCTACCTGAAAACATGCTTGCCATTTAGTTTATCAGTTCAATTCAACCAGCATTTATTAAATGTCGACTGTGTGTAGAATAGTGAAGGAAGTTTAGATAAAACCCATTGCAAGTTTTAATCCTTGGAGACAGGGACTTCCATTTTTGTCTGTCGCCAGTGCTTTACAAACAGTAGGCACTTAATAAGTATTTATGGAATTGGATTGAATCTAATTTTCAAATTCAATTCAATTCTATCCAATTCAACAAACACAAATATCTCCATAGAGCTTGTATTCCAGTAGGAAGATGAGAAACAAACACGGATAATTGTAATACACAACAGCTTGTAAAAAAGCAATCAAATTAGAAAGGTTTAAAAAAAAAAAAGGAATGTGTTTCCTTAGGAGGATTATATAAGGTTTCCTGGATGAGATGGCAATTGAATTGGGATTTAATAAATAAGCAGGAATTTCACAGGTCAGAAGAAGGGGAAGAAGAGCACTCCAGGCAGAAAGAACAGCATGAGAAAAGGCCTAGAAGTGGTTATTTGCAGTGGTAGGAGATAGACAGTTGATTGAATTGTACAATATATGGAGGAGAGTAAATGAGCTAAAGCTATAAAGGTAGGGTGAGTTATATGTGGAGCAATACTTTGTCATTAAAAAACACTTTTTAAAGAATCAGTACAAGGAAGAACTTTGTAATAACATGGCCTAATCCAGAAATAGAATGGCTTAATTTTCTGAGGAAATGAGCTCCCTATTGCTGAAACTGTTCAAGCAAAGGCTGAATTCAGAGATACTATAAGAGGTTTGGAGATTGGACTAAATGACCCCTTGGATCTCTTTCCACTTTAAGGCTCTGGTCCTTGTAATTCTCAGCCTGTCAGCACCAACCCTGACACCCCAGCAGCCTTGTGGAAGGGACCTACAGCTGGCTTGGATCTTGGCACTACTTATCCCCGTGTGGAATCCTTTCAAATTAGCAAAGAAAAGATCATGCTAATAACCAAGAAAGCAGGACCACCCCTAGCTACATTGCCTTCACTAGAACAAAAACAAATTGGCTGATGATGAAAAAAAAATAAACCCCCCAAAATGGTTTTTTATGCAACAGATCTGATGATGTGGTAGCCATGAAGCAATGGCCTTTCATGATGTTGAATGACACAGGCAGACCAAAAGTTTAAGTGGAGTACAAAGAGTAGACTAAAAGCTTCTATCCAGAAAGAGAATTTTCTATGGTCTTGACAAAGATAAAAGAAATTGCTGAAGCTTATCTTAAGAAGACTGCTACCAGTGTCATGATAGCAATAGCCTTTTTTAGTGACTCCTAATATCAAAACACCCCAAAATGCTGGCAACGCCACTGACCTCATGCTACTTTAAATTACCAACGAGCCCACTGCTGCCACTATCACTTTTGGTTTAGATGAGAAAGTTGGTTCCAAAGGGCATATGTTGAACTTTGACTTTGGAGGAGGCACTTTTAGTGTCGCCATCATAACCGTTGGAGATGGTAAGCATCTTTGAGGTCAACTCTGTAGATAGCTGGAGATACTCACTTGGATGGAGAGGATTTTGAATGAATGAATGAAGTGTATTTATTAAGTGCTTAGCTGTGTGCCAAGCACTAACTAGGCTAATATACAAATACAAAAGGGAGAAAGTCCCTGTTGAAGGATATTATATTGGATGGGAAAGACAACACATATAGAGAGGCGAGGCCAACGGGAAGGAGTTATGGTCCACCATTGCTGCAGAACCCAAACTCAAGCACAATAAGGACATCAGTGAGAACAAGAGGGCCATTCTCCACTTCTGTACTGCTTGTGAACTTGGGAAGCACAACTTTCCTTCCAATACCCAGGTTAATATTGAGATTAACTCTGCCTCAACTTTTATCCCCTATGCCTGCACTGAACAGCTGAATGCAGCCCTTTTCGAAACACTGTACATACACTGTGGGAAAGACCCTGAGAGGTGACAAGATGAATAAGTCCCAGATCCATGACATCATTTTGGTGGGTGGCTCCATTCTTATCCCCAAGAAACTTTTTCGAGACTTCCTTAATTGAAGGGAGCTGAACAAGAACATTTGGAGGTATCTCTTCTGAACCCACCACTGAATAGCTCATCTAAATATATTAGTCAGTAAGTCATTAAACATTTTTTAAGTGCCTACTATGTGCCAGGCACAGTGCTAAGAGCTGAAAATACAAAAAGAGACAAGACAGACCCTGCCCTCAAGGAGCTCACAGTCTAATGGGAGAGACAATATGCCAACAGCTATGTACAAACAAGCTATAAACAAGATAAAAAGGAAATACTCAACAGAAGGAAGGAACTAGCATTAAGGGAGATCAGGAAAGGCTCCCTCATGGAACGTGAGATTTTATCTGGGACTTGAAGGAAGCCAGTGAAGCCATGAGGCAGAAATGAGAAGGGAGAACATTCCAGGCATGGGTGGCAGCCAGAGAACGTGCCCAGAGCTGAGAGATGGAGTGTCTTGTTTGAGGAACAACCAGGAGGTCTACATTGCTGGACCTGAGATGGTATGCATGTAGCAGTCAGGAGAAATGGATAAGATATAAGAAGGCTGGAAAGGCAGGAAAGGGCCAAGTTACGAAGGGCTCTGGATGCCAAATTTGGCCCTGGAGGTGATAGGGGGATGTCATGGTAGGAACTGAAGATCATGGTGACTGTTGATTGGGTTATGGACTGGAGTGGGGAGAGCTCATCATAATTAAAGGACCCAAATTTGGAATTAAAAACTGGGTACAGGAGAAATTTGGAAATCTCATCAGAACTTCTGTGTGATTTCTGGGCTTTATGGATACCTGTGAGACAATGGAATGGAGGATAGGTAACAACAGCAGCAGCAACAATAATTACCATTTGTAGAGTTCTTTAATGCTCACAAAGCTTTATGCATATGTTGTCTCATTTGTTTCTCAGAACAACCCTGTGGGATAGGTGTTATTATTATTATATCCCCATTTTACCGATGAGAAAACAGCAACTTGTCCAGTGTTCCACAGCTAAGTGTTTGAGGCAAGATTTGAACATAGGACTATCGTGATTCACCATTCACTGCACCACCTAACTGACTTAGAGTAAAGAAAAGCTGGGTTCAAGTCTTACCTTTGGCATATACTGTTTCTTCGACCCAGGACAAGTCACTTAATGGGTCAGTGCTCAATCACAGGCAACTGTCCAAGACTAAAAGTTGCAGAGGAGGTACTAACTTGCATTGGTAGAGTGTTTTCTTATCTGAAGGTTACCTATTGCATTGAAATTTCTGTTCAACACAATGACCAGACATCATTCCAGAAGGTCAAGAGAGGTGATCAACTTAATACACAAAATATATATGTGTGTGTGAATGTGTGTGTCTCTGCGTGTGCGTATAAATACATTATATAATAATAATATTGTAGATGTTAGATATAACTCATGTGAGAATTTGTTTTGCTCGGCTGGGCATATCTGTTACAAAGACTTTTTTTTTTTAAATTTGGAGGGAGATGGAATTTTAAAATTTTGGACTGAGAGAATAAATGCTTGTTACCAATTTTTTTAAAATTGAAGAAAATGACAGATTTAGTCCCTATTTCCATTCCTGTCCTGAGCACTGGAATGTGTACGTGGGGAGAGAAGTGAACACTATCCTTTATCTATATTGCAAACAAATAGAAATGTGACTTCCCCCCTACCTAAAATAAAAACCTGCTTAAAATTGATACAATGAAAAAAAAGATCTATGATTTTATGCATAAGATATCAATTTATTTTTTCCCCTTCTCTTCTTACAGGTAACTGGAAAAAACATCAACTTTGTGATCCTTCTTGTAAAACCTGTGATGGATCAGACACTCTGTGCACTTCCTGTCGTAAAGGTTAGTGATGTCCTTAAAAAGGTCTTGACAAGCAGAGGGCAGCTCCTATGCTTGTTTTCCTCTGGGAGGTCAGAATCATTTATGATAAAACTTCAGACACATCCTTTTTTGGCTTAAAAATGTTTATTTAGGTTTTGTTTTCATTATTCTTGAGCTAGAGCCCTAAAAACGTAAAATCATATGATCTTAAGGATTTTAAATCAAAAAAGGGACCTTAGAAAGTATTGGCTACAACCCAGTAAGTCTTAGAGAGATTAAGTGACTTGCCAGGTGTTGTTAGCAGAGTCAGAAATCAAACCTAGATCTTTCCATTCTAAATCTAGTGCTCTTTCCACCACACAAGGCTATTTCCCTAAATAGGTGCCTCTTAAATAATCCATTTTCCTCCTCACCCATTTAAATGATTCTACAACTGACTCAGTGAGCTGCTGAGCCTCAAATCAGCTACAGAGTTAGGAAATGACTTCTAGGCTGTGCCACTAATTGGTGTGACCTTGGAAAAGTCATTCTATGTGTCATCTGTTTCCTCTTCTGTAAAATTAAGAATGAATAGTTTGCTCCTTGGCTTGTTTCTCTCAGCACTCCTATTGTCTGAGGGAAAATAAAAATGCTTGGTCATACTCCTCTCAGCTTGTCCATTTAGAAGTCATCTCTCATAGTCTAATGTGTTTGCAAATGTAGCAGATACCAGCTATCCCTTCTCTCCTCATTCCCCTGGAGAGTCCCAAAATTCCCAAGTAACCCAGCATAAAACCTCTGGCCCCTCTCTCCTACCCTCTTTGCCAGGGGTTGTTAGAACTGTGTGGATTAATTTATGATTCAGGGGCTGGAAAGGTACAAAGAGTTTAGGGAACAGGGTAATATCATGCACTGATAAAAAGCAGATATTGGGGAATGAGAGAAGAAAAGGAACAAACCTTTATTAGGTACCTACTATGTGCCAGGCACCCTGCTAAGCACTTTACAAATATTAACTGTTTTGATTCTCATAACAATCCTGAAAGACAGGCACTACTATCACCCGCATTTTACAGATAAGGAAACTGAGGCAGATAGACATTAAATGACTTGCTTAGAGTCCCACAGCTAGCAAGTGTTTGAGGTGGGATTTGAACTCAGGTCTTCTTGATTCGAGACCCAGCACTGTCTCCACTTTCACAACACAGTGAGCATGTAGAGTGAAGCATGGCTGGAGTTGGCCTAGATGCAATGGATTACCAGAAGCACTAAGCAGTCAAGTTAGTGGCATTTTCAGAGTTTAAAGGATTAAGTCTTTAAAATTAACCCTTGGCCTGGTTTGGAAAATATACCTGTGCAGGGAAGTTGGCAAGAGGGTGCCTGGGATGTTGGATAAATCGAAGTTGGATTGCAAACTGCCAATCTGCAGTTTTCCCTCCCTCAGCTCGTTCCATGGAGACTCTTAGAATACTTTCCCATGGCTTGATATGTGCATGAACTGAAGCACCGATGAAAGCACCATTCTAGTGTTCACATACCTGGTCTAGCTTGTGAGACCAAGAAGGATAAAAGTCAGTGCAGGAACTAATCTGAAGTTTGAGCACAGAGCTAGCCTTAAGCAAAATTATGAAATAGGAAGTTTGTCTTTGAATGCCTGGGCCTACCCGTTTAGCTGCTTTTCCCAGCTTTTTTTATACGGTCTTTCCACTCCCACAACCCAGTTGCCGCTGTGAAAGAAATGGGTGGGGCAGATAAAGTTATTTCTCCAAGGTCAGACCAGCTAGTGGTATCCAGTTAGAACCCTTCTGGCCTCAGGCTTCCAGCAGATTGGGCCAATTCGGAAGAAATGAGTATCCTTGTTAAATATTTTGGGGTGTCCAAGATAGCACTGTCCCGGATACCATGAGAATTTACAGAAAATTGGAAGGCAAAAAAAATTTAAAAAAAAAAGAAAAGAAAAGTAAAAAACAAAAAAACAAAATTAAAATTAAAATTAAAATTAAAAAAACAAAAACAACAAAAGAAAATTGGAAGACAAGGTTCTGGCTCCCATATTCTTTGTATAGATAAATACGTCATTTAAAGCAGGCCTGCACAACTTGTGGTCCACCAAAGGATTTCAGGTGGCCAATGAAAAATGTAGAGGAAACCATCCCTCGACCTTTTTTTGCAGGCTTCCGGAAATCCTTTGGTGTTCCCAGGGGTCAGAAGTGGCCCCGCAGGCCGCAGGTTGTGCAGGCCTGATTTAGGGTAAGGGTTCTTCACCCTTTGGCATTCTCTGATGAAGCCTATGAACAGCTTTCTCAGAATAATGTTTTAAATGCATAAAATAAAACACAGGATTACAAAGAAAATTAACATATCAAAATATACTTTTCAAAAACAAAAGTTTAAATTCCTGGATCTGGGTTAAGAACTCCTAGAGGGAGAAATACATGACTAATTTGATTCAAATGTTCTTATATTTTCCCTTTGGTGTGTTTGTAGGAACCTATCTTTTCTCTCAGTCCTGCATCCCTGCCTGTCCCCAAGGAACATGGCCCTCAGAGAAGAATGGGAGATGTGAGAAATGCACAGAGGATTGTGAGTCCTGCTCTACAATGAATAACTGTATGAAGTGTCTGTCTCAGTCAGACCATCCTCTCTACCTGCACCATGGCAGATGCTATACGCAGTGCCCTGAGTAAGTACAACTCTGTGTGTGTGTGTGTGTGTGGTGTGTGTGTGTGTGTCTGTCTGTCTGTCTGTCTGTCTCTGCCTCTCTATCTGTGTTTCTCTGTCTCTGTCTGATTGTTTGTATATGTGTCTCTGTGTGTGCTTCTCTATCTGTCTCTGATCATCTGTCTGTCCATCTTCCCCTTTGGCTCCCCACATTCCCATTTTAAAATTCATTTAAGCTTCTTCCTGGGAAATGCCTTCTTCCAAATTTCTGTCTCCCTTGGAAAGGCTACCCACATCATCACTGCTGGACACATTGTGGTCACATGGAGTCCCAAGTACATCATAGACAATATGCCATTGTATTTCTTTAAAACTTGGGCTCTTTCCACTTTGAACTAAAGTTTCATTCAAGCATCTTCAGCATTTTTTCTCCATTGCCAACCAGAGTCATGCAGCTGTCAGGAAAGTGCCGCCTTGGGCCAGTGCTTTATAAACCCTAAAGCACAATATCAATGTGAGTTATTATTGTTCTTAAATGAGAAAGAACCCCTGGGGGAGCTCAGCATGGCGAGTATAAATGATGACTGTTAACTGGAGGGGTAGGAATTTGAATTTTTTTTTTCCAGATTTGTGATTTCATCGATGAAGGGAACTCTCAGGGAGGGGCTCCCTCTGCAAATGTAGATTAACAATTGCTCTCCAATTTACAGTCTTGGGGAGTTGTCTAGAGTGGAGGTGTCAAACATGCACCTAATGCTGCCCAGTGGGCTCCAACTAGATTAAGATGTAATGGGGAAATATTTGACAAAATAAATGAAAATATTATATCATATAGATAATGCTGATATATGGTTTTCTAAGTCAAAATGCCACCTGCGGGGATCCTTATGTACAGTGCAGTGTCCCCCATTTCTATTTGAGTTTGATACCACTGGCCTAGAGCACTGAGAAATTAAATGACTTACCCAAGGTCATGCAGCCTGTATATATCTTAGGCAAGATTTGAAGGTCAGTCTTCCTTTACAATTGCAGATTGGTACCTGTACTATGATTTAGTCTTATGGAGTAGCCTTGAGCACTGAAAAATCAAGTAACTTGCCTGGGTCACACAGCCAGTATGTAAGCTTCCTTGAGTCCTATATCCTTGCCATCATTAATAACTCACAATTGTATAATACTTTAACATTTTTCCTAACTCCCTTTCTCATCACAACCCTGTGATGTGGTTGGTATATGTATTATTACCTCCACCTTCCAGATGGGAAAACTGAGGCTCTGAGAGATGTAATGACTTGCCCTTAGTCACATAGCTAGTATCTGAAGAAGGATTTGAACCCAATTTTCCCAGACCTGTGTAGAATTTATTCCATTACACCATTCTGCATTTAATATCCTGAGCAACTGTAGTTCATCCTAAGTTCCAGAAAAAGTAGACACTTTTTAAAATTATCAAATGTCCCTACGTTTGTAAATATACTCCTAAGGAGACATTAGTTTTGGCTTTTCTCTCTTTCAATGATACCACCTCATTTTTTAACCTCAGAACTGTTTGCACCCAGTTTATGACTTAAAAAACCCACTTCCTGTTAGTAAGGATTTCCTCTTTGGAATAAGATCCTGCCATTTTGGCCTCAAGCCCTACCACATCCCCAACTCATTGACTGCCCTGGAGGTAAAGTCAAGAGGTCTGAGAGTCCTAAGGTCCTACAAGAAAAGCTTCAGGAGTAATGAGCAGCTATGTGACTTCTGACCCTCTTCAGGAGCATTTCTGAGGTTCAGATTAGCAACCATCTGTGAACCCTCAGGCTTGCTTGATGTCTCCCTTTTAGTCAATATTGCAACCCTTTTTTCACCCTGTGATATTCAACCCTAGACTTGTTGCAGGAATAGAGACAAGATTCCCATTTCTCTCCTACCCTCATTTCTAGAAAACAAACATAAAACTCATCTTTAGATTTTCAATTTAAAAAATTACAAGGAAATAGATCGTTGTTGTTCACTTGTGTCCAACTTTCCATGACCCCATTTTGGGGTTTTCTTAACTTCCCTAGATGAGGCACAGGCACACGACTTACAGTAAGTGTACCGAGCCAGATTGAGCTCATGAAGATGAGTCATCCTGATTCTAAGCCCAGGGCTCTATCCACTGGACCACTTAGATGCCCCAAGGAAATAGATAGTAGTTTTTAAAAGATACAGTCTGTGATAGAAAAAGAGATAAAGCTGCAAGAAACTTTTAAAATTCCATTCTTTAAGGAAATCTAAGTAGGAGGCTAATTAGGCTTTATCCTTAGCATCTCCCCTCTTTCTCCTGAATCCCCTTAATAAAAGGATTTGTTCTGTGAAGTTTGGATTCAAAGGGCCACACTTGAGGACCTAGAGGGCCACATGTGGCCTGCAAGCTGCAGGTTCCCCACACCTGTAACCTGCCTTCTAGTCTTACCTTTTGGAATGGATCCTCTGGTATAGGATTTAATTTCTCTATTTGGCCCCAAGAGTCTTTTTCTGAGCTTCAGGCCATCCTGCACTGATGCTGAACCCAACTGATTCTTCCTTCCTATAGATCTTAGGGGATTCATTCCTTGACATTCTATTCCTACTCAGAGCTATTTCTCTCTTCCTCGTTTTACAAAAAAAAAGGATTTGTATGGATAATTTTTGTTTTTATATCACCTCAATTTCCTTCTATATCCTTCTCTCTCCCTGTTCCAGAGAACCATCCCTCATAATATTTTTTTTTACAAAAGGAAAAAAAGATTATGTGAAAAGTTCTAGCAAAATCTATCAATACATCAAAAATATGCAATTTTATGTAATGTTCCACACAAACGGATCCCTCACCCCTACAAAGAAGTAGAGAAAGGTGTCTTCTCATATCTTTTTGGAGATTCAAGCTTATCCTTTAAAATGTTTACATCATTCACTTCGGATTGTTCTGAGGGCTGTTTATTAGCAGACATGTTTCCCTGACTCGGGTTACTTCACTTCAAATCATTTCATGTGAGTCTTATCTTACAGCATAGTAATGTTCCATTATATTCATGGCCCCTGATTTGTTTCACTATTCCCCCATTGATGGACACCTGCTTTTTTTTCAATCCTTGGTTACTACAAAGTTTTCCCATAAATATCTGACCTACTACCCAAAGACCTCAGACCTTGTCAATCACCTTACTAATGAACCCTTAGGATTCTTGTATGTGTCATCTTCTCCAATTAGAGTGGGAGATCCTTGAGAACAGGCACTGTCTCACTTTCTATTTGTATTTCTAGCAATTAACACAGTATCATACATTAGAAAGGACTTAATTTTTTTTTCATTCATTCACCTGGGGCTGGTTCTTCTGTCTGTCAGCATTGTTCAGGGACCCCATCACCCCTCTAATAACATTCTCCAGAAGCCAGAGCCAAATTGCCTTCTCTTCCTGTTACCAAACTCTCAAATAAATCTTTCATTGTTGCTGTTAAGCCGTTAGCCCTCAATTAGTTCAAGAGTAGATTAAACATTCCAGATATGCTTTGGGCTCATTGAATAAATTCAGAACATCAGCCCTCCTCATTTCCCAAGTTCTCCTTGATGACTCATGATGACTTGAGTTCCCCAGAGTCTTCCAGATTCTTGTCAATTTCAACTTTTTCCCTAGAAAAGAAAGTCATTAATAATACAGATGATTCCACAGACAGCAGCAAGATAGATCATTTCCATCAGCATTCAGATAAAGGTGTTTTCCTGATACTATCTATCATCCATATCATCAATGGTTCTCCCTGTTGGCTCAGATAGAGCTCTGCTCCTTTAATCACATTTTTTATTAGCTGTGCTTAGAACTGGTTACTACTGCTTACTAAGGCCAACTCAGTGGGTTGATAAATAAACTTTTACTAAGTGACTAAGTGCTAGACTAGGCACTATGCTTCCATTTTTAGGTGAGGGGGCTGGTCTCTCGTTTTCCAAATGGGTAGACAGGGAATTGAGGCTAAAAACAGAATGGAATCACATGATTGCAGAGTTAAGAGAACTTCAGGCACCATCTTGTCCAACCCATACCTCACCAAGAATTCCCTCTATGATACCACTGGCAAAGGTCTTCCACCCTTTGCTTGATAATCACCAGTGAGAAGAAATCTGCCCAGCTCCCAAAAAAGAATGTTCCACTCTCAAGATTTAAGGTATTCTTTACCTGCAGTAGAGCTTCAGTCTGCCTCTCTGCCACTTCCCATCACTCTTAACTGCCCCCTCGAGCCAAGCAGAACTAGTCTTACCTAACTTCCATGTGATAGTCTTTTAAATAGTTGAAAACAGCCATCATGTCCTCCCTCAACATTCTCTTTTCCAAGACAACATCACCATTTCCTTCAACTGATCCTTCTGTGACACCATCTCCCACCCTCTCACCTGCCAGGCACTTTCTTCTGAATATGCTCCAGCTTATCTAATATTATTCCTAAAATGTGATGTCCAGTACTGAACACGGCATTCCAGATGTGGTCTAATAGGGCCAAATACAGTAGAACTATCAGTTCTTTTTTTTTGTGGGGGGTGGTTAGGCAATGGGGTTAAGTGGCTTGCCCAGGGTCACACAGCTAGTGTTATAAGTCAGAGGCTGGATTTGAACTCAGTTCCTCCTGAATCCAGGGCCAATGCTCTATCCACTGCACCACCTAGCTGCCCCTTATCAGTTCTCTCCTTTTGTTTACAGAGGATAGAGCTCTATGTCTGGAATCAGGAAGACCTGGGTTCAAATCTGGCCTCAAACACTTATTAGCTATGTGACCCAGGGAAAGTTACTTAACCTCTATCTCAGTTTCCTCAACTGAAAAATAGGATTAATATTGGTACCTACATCCCAAGGTTGTTGTAAAAATCAAATGAGATATTTAGCACAGTACCAGGCATGTAGTAGGCACTTAATAAATGCTTGTTTCCTTTCTTTTCATGCAAAGGATAGCATTAGATTTGGGGGGGGGCTTCCAATATAATATTATAGTCATAAAATCATAGAACATTAAAGCTAGAAAGCA